GAACGAACACAATCTATGAGTGGTCTTATCTTATGAAATTTGTCTGATTTCCTCTGTGCTGCATTCAACAGACTCATCAAAGACTTTCAGAGAAGCTCCGATTACTGAAAACATGTCACGACTCATGGCATCAGCTATACAAGAAATCCTTGTCTTCTTTTGCCAGTACATTTTAATTCTAGGGAATCTTAATACTGACATAAGGAAGTTTATTCCTATAAACTTTTTCATTTGAACTACTGTTAGAGATAATGGCTTTCCTTGCTTGGACATGTATTTTTTCTGTGTTTCTAGAGTCAAGGCATCTAAAATTTCAGCTGAGAGGTAAGCCATGAAATAATCTACAGGGGAGAGAACTGTGGATTGACAATTAGTTCCCTGAGAATGATTATCAACATCTACAGTAAATCTGTAATTGAAGTTTATATTTCTCCTGAAAAGATGACATTCATTAGTATTGAGATTTCTCCTGGGTCCAGTCTGTGCAGCTGCAGTGCTTCTTGTAACTTCAGTGCTACTTGTAACTTCGGGGGGCCTTCTAGCATTTCCGTTGCTCTCTTCATCAGACTCAGATGCTGTACTCTCAGTGTTGGCACACAGCTCGGGAAAGAGTTCTCTCCGCCGGACTGGGGATGAAGGCCAGTCATCATCATCAGATATGCTGCTCAAATCAGAATTGCTAAATTCTGCCAGCAGTCGCTGGTATTCTTCTGAAATAAAAAGAAATTGTTAGGCAAATAAAAAAAAGTATTTTCTTAAGTTCTATATGTCATGTAACTCCATTAGCAATATCAATATTTTATCCTGTATGATTTCATAATAATTACGCAAATTTATATTCATCCATAAACATATGAAATACATTTTCCATTAACATCGTCAAAAACAGCATGATAACGAGCTTGTGTTAATACCAATGTTTTGTACTACAAGTGGAGCTAGGAATGTCACCAATGAAACTACTGTCGGGCATTTAACTTCAATTTTCATAAAAGTATTTTTAGTTACATTACTCTGTAACATCATTAATTTCCAGTTGAAATGTTTTCCAATACATGATAATCACAATGTAGATCTGTCTTACTGAGAAATATGTTTAAAGTAGTAAGATGTAAATTTTTGCTTACTTACTAGCATGTTCCAGCACGAAGGGAACAAATTTGTTCCATTTAAATGGATGTGTTCCTGATCAGTCATAAACATAGCTTTTAAATGTTTGAGAACCTGTGTCACTCGACAAACATCCCCTTAATCAGTTCCATACCTTAAAGGTGTTTCATAACATAAATATAAAAAATAATAAGAGCTTACTTACCCATGGGTGCGACGATTTTGCTGATGTGACTATTCCTCTTCTCTTTTCTCCAGCCAGTCGCCATGGAATTAGTAATTCATGAAGATGACACTTCGAACGCTTTGCAAATATACCATAGAAAATGTGAATAGAATATAAAGCACAAACTTCAGTAAATTACGCGCCGCCGCCAATTTAAACAATGGAACGAATTTGGGCCATTTTTACTTAGTTCAGGGCTGAATGGGATATATATATATATATATATATATATATATATATATGTATATATATATATATATATATGTATATATATATATATATATATATACATATATACATACATACATATATACATATATATATATATATATATATATATATATATATATATATATATATATATATATATGTGCATATATATGCATTTATTTTACTCTTTCATTGTTCTATCCAAAAAAAAAAAAAAAAATCAGGAAGGTCTTTGACAGAAGTACCGGATCAGATCATGTGACTCTATCGGATGATTGACAGGCCGAGATATGTCTGTTTGGTTGGGGATTCACACCTTGCCATCACAGTCTTCAAGCCCAAGATTATGCTTACTCGCTGCCGGCTCCCCCCTGCCTGACATACGAGTAATTCCAATATTTATATCCTCATAAGAACGAATAATGAAAATGTATCTAAAATATTTTTTCTTCTAGCATATTCTCTAACCCTTCCTTAGTAAGTCTGGCTACTCAACGTAAATTCTACATTAAAAAAAAAAAAAAAAAAAAAAATATATATATATATATATATCAAAGACCTGTGACAGCTAGAAAAATATTCGCCTCTGGAGGAGTGACAGTGAAAGGGTTAAGAATAATTTTCATTATAATGATCATACAATAATAATAATAATAATAATAACATTATGATGATCATACAATAATAATAATAATAATAATAACATTAATAATGATAATAATAATAATAATAACATTAATAATGATAATAATAATAATAACATTAATAATAATAATAATAATAATAACATTAATAATAATAATAATAATAATAACATTAATAATAATAATAATAATAACATTAATGATAATAATAATAATAACATTAATAATAATAATAATAACATTAATAATAATAATAATAATATAAGTAACAACAACTACAGATATAGATATTTCATAACAACCTTCCTACCTTTCCAGACTTCATTCTGAATTGCAGCTTGTCACTCCCAATGTGCTCGGCGACAGACACAAACAGGTTCCTCATGTGAGAGTCTCCCACCAGGGCAATGTGGGTCACTGCAGGCAAGGCGGTCGAGTTGGCTCGGAAGATGGTGTTTGCTGCCTTTCTGTTAAGAATACGGGCATTCGTTGGGTTTTCTCCATTTCGCGATTCAGGAAATGGTGTTTAACATTGGGTAGGGAGGGTTGGGTTTTGACGTGTAGAGGCCCTCTTTAACGTTGTGGCATCCTCTACGTGGAGACCCGCCTACTTGTAAGATTCGAACTGAACATTTCCATTGTTTCATCACATGTATATTCCTCTGAGAATTGTTTTGTTTGCTCTGATCATTTCAAAATATGAATTGGCTTTACGGAAATAATTCGTCTTAACATGTGGAAACCACGATACTTTGACCAAAATGGCATCCATCCGGGCAACATGGGTGATTTGCATTATATAAAAAAATAAAATAACCTAACCAGTTGTCTGCCAACCATGATTTTTTCCTAAGCTGAATAATCATTACTTGAGCCTAAACATCGGAAAAAAAGTTAAAAAAGGCAGAATCTCAGAGCCAATGTCACAGCCCCAAGCTTCCACGAGCGCGAGGTTGCTTTATCTTGCGGCTAACCCCAAAGGGCGCTAGATCCTTGCTGATTGCCCCAAACTTGCTGATTTTGTTATCATTTTAACCCATTGCCGCCGGGGAAAATTAACAAAAAATGGGGAAAATGCTGTGCATATTTTCTATACTTTTTTGTTAAATGTCTGCCCATAGATGGCTCTGTTAGCGCCAATTTGAAATGGCGGGAAAAAACGTATTTTTCACTAGTGCCATGAATATCGTTAGTGTTATTTTTATCATAAACATTACAATTTTTATAATGTTTTTTTAACATTAGTAACAGCAAAATAAGATAACGTAAAATATTTCGTAAATCAAAGAAAAGGGTGAACGGGCGAGACAGGCGGTACTCATAACTGGCTCATTGGTGATTTAGTACAAGTGTAGCCATCTATGTGTGAAAACAATCTAACAAGTAATCTCACAGTGACCATGGCATGGCATGCCCGGCGGGAATGGGTTAAAGGTTGCCTTTAAATAAATTTCATCTTTATATATCATATGCAAACATACATGCATACATTTATATATATATGTGTGTGTGTGTGTGTGTGTGTGTGTGTGTGTGTGTGTGTAATGATTTTATATATTTATATATATATATATATATAATTCATATATATCTATATATATCTATGTTTATATCAATATGTATATATCTATATCTATATCTATCTCTGTCAATCTATATGTGTGTTTGTGATTCTTATATATTTATATAGAACTATACGTACATATATGAATATATATATATATATATATATATATATATATATATATATATATATGTATATATATGTGTGTGTGTGTGTGTGTGTGTGTGTGTGTGTGTGTGTGTGTGTAAGTAAAATTCATACATATTCATATATAACCATTTGTATATATGGATTTATAAATACACACATACACACATATATACATTTATTGTAACAGCAGTTCTATATTAATTATCTTTAAATGAGAACCAAAATACATACTTTGGAATTATCATGAGAGAAAAAAACATACAGTACTACTAACTACGTTTTAAAATGGACCACACTCAGTTATGACAACAAGACAACCGCATGTTTATCAACTTGACTAATTACTTGGTTTATAAGTAGTGACATCTTCAGAGTCACTTGCATCACTCTTTACATTATTTATTGTTCTAGCCGGCATATCATATGCAGACTGAACTTTACTCTTTAGATAATACTACGAGTGTATCAGTGTACGCTAGGTCTCCTCAACTGGCGGCCCGCGGGACCTTCTGAGTGTTGTAGCAGGACCCCAGGCAAAGTGTATTTCCTCGACTGATTATAGGCTAAGTGAGGGGTCTATCGTACATATGCATTTGACCTACTAAGGTCGACTTTTTTTCAGGACTGCATGTAAAATATTTATCCGGTCCTCTGCATATATTGGAATTTGTCTATCTGGATTTTTGCTCGTAATGGTTGAGTAGTCCTGGTGTACACAATATTTTAATTTTTAAAAGGACAAAGAGAAATTGAGAAATCTGCCTGAGAAATCTTTGTGAGATTGAATTGACTGAGAAAGGCAAAGACAGAAAAATAGATATTGCAACTGCTGAATTGAGATAACAAGATAGCTATGCTGCATTTCTCTTTTAGAAAACAATATCCCAACATTGTGAGATTTCCAAGTGAGCAGATAGATCTTCCAGATGATGAGCACGACTTTCCTTATCTAAGAGTTTCTTGTCCAGACATTTTCAAGCTGTGTCAACGTGTTTACTAAGAAAGATTTAGGGGATTTAGAAGCAACGTCATGAAGTAAAAGAAAATTTTAACAACAATAATAATGATGATAATGATAATGATAATGACGATGATGATAATATTGTTAACAATATAGAAATCCATAGGTGAAAACAAACAAACAGAAAATTGCTGAATGATCCCGGTAAAACTATATTTCGCACACATGTTTTCTCTGCCCTAAGCTTTACCCGGAGAGCGGTAAGCTTAATGTACAGATTATTCTAACTTGGGTGCTTCATGCAGTGGAAACACTACGTTGCCTGACTAATGCTACTGCTTCTGCAATTGCTGTTGCTGCTACTGCTTCTGCTGATACCATTATTTCTACATCCATTGCTGCAACTACTGCTACTACTAATGATAGCAATACACCCACTTGTGTTGTAGTCTTTGCTCCGCACTGAACCGCTCGACGCAGCGCAGCACGTCCCCCGCCGTGTACTTCCGCATCTTACAGCAGACGTTCTCTGCGGTGAAATTCACGTAGTCGAAACAGCTGTCCTTCAACGTCGGGTTTTCTACGGCACTCTTGAGGACGGCAGGAGGCGGGCTCCTCCTGGAGGACTTGTCCAGCGCCACGCGAAGGAAGACAATGATCAGCAGCACCGCAGAGGTCGCGAGAAGTAGACGTCGCTCCTTCATGGCTGCCGTGCAGGTTCTGTGGCGGTGAGATGTTTGTCATTTCTCTCTCTCTCTCTCTCTCTCTCTCTCTCTCTCTCTCTCTCTCTCTCTCTCTCTCTCTCTCTCTCTCTCTCTCTCTCTCTCTTTCTCTCTCTCTGATTTCGTTATACATTTCATTTTACTTTTACACTGATCCTGTGTAATGTAGTGAACTTAGATTATATTCAAGTGGTGGTATTTACAGATGATTTAAACTCAAAAATATTAATAATCTTTAAAAGAAAATAACTGTTTGAAAATCAATGACATGTTACAAGCTTGTCACACACACACATAAATAGATATATAAATATACATATATATATATACACACACACATACACACACACACACACACACACACACACACACACATACATATATATATATATATATATATAGATAGATAGATAGATAGATAGATAGACAGATAGATATACATACACACACAACACACACACATACATATGCACACACAGACACGCGCGCGCACACATATGTGTATTTATATATTTATATATTCAAACACATATAACACACACAGACACACACACGGATACACACACGCACACACACAGACACACACATAACACACACAGACATACACACACGCAGACACACGCGCACGCATATGTGTATTTATATATTTAAACGATATTTAAACACACATAACACACACACACAGACACACTCACATACACATACACACACGCACACACACAGACACACACATAACACACACATACACACACAGACACACACGGTCACGTATGTGTATTTATACATTTAAACTATATTTAAACACACATAACACACACACACACACAGGCACACACACACACACATACACACGCACACACAGAGACACACACGCGCACATATGTGTATTTATATATTTAAACTATATTTAAACACATAACACACACGCACACACACACACACACGCACACACACATAACACACTGACACAAAAACACACACACACAGAACACACGCACACACGTGTGTATTTATATATTTAAATTAATTTGATGTGTACATACACATAACACTTATATAGAGAGGGACTATCAAAAGTTTGAGCCACAGATAACAGAAACCCTAAGATGCGAAGAGAGGGGTAAAAACACCATTCATATATTAAGAAATTGAATGACCAAGAATAAGTGGTCAGATTAAGTTACAGTTGCAGTTACCGGTGTTGGCAGGATGCGGGCCGGGACCAGCTTCCACGCCTCCGCCAACCGCATTCCCTCCACCAGCCATTGAGGCTGCAAACGCAATCTGTTTTTCTATGAATCTCTGTGTGGAGAAATACTTCTTGAGAATGGATAATAGCACCCGAACTTCATAACTGAGCTTCAAACACAGAAGCTTCCGGGGTCTAGCAGGAAAGACTTTACCTGCTCCACTGAAAAGGCGCTTTTGTTGCATCTATACTGCAATTTATAAAGTGAACGTCTGGACATCAGGCAGTGTCCCGGTTTGCCCGTAGACAGTTATGGTAACCCCCCCCCCCCCACCTCTCCCTCTCTCCAACCGACGTGTCTGACCATGCAGATGAATGCAGATAATAAAAGAGATACCCAGTCAATCTCCATTGATATAGAACTAAATATAATGTAACCCATATATGCACTATTGGGCTGCAAGTGCACAACTTACCTCACTTTATGTTGGAAGTGATGATTTTAGGCGACGAATTGCCAACCTTGATTAAATGTTTCGCCAAAGAAGAGTGAGTGGAGGCTTCTTAAGCCGGATATCTGCGCGGAAAGCAAGGCTTCTTAATCTTATCTAATGCTATCTAATCTCTGTTGCACCAGTCGTTGAAAATTTACATATTAACATTCTGCACACACACACACACACAAACACACACACACACACATATACTCACACACACACACACACACACACACACACACACACATATATATACTCACACACACACACACACTTACACACACATACACACTTACACACACACACACACACACACACACACACACACACACACACACACACAAACACACGCGCACTATACATACACTCATTTATATAATGTATATATATAATATACATATGTATATATAGTCATACAATATATTTAAAATATATGTGTGTTTCATACATTGTATTATATACACACACACACACACACACACACACACACACACACACACACACACACACACATATATATATATATATATATATATATATATATATATATGTATATATCGTAAGTATGTGTACTGGATGTGTACAGCAAATATGTGTTCGCATATATGTAGGTATGTATACACATAAGTATGCGCATATGATGTGCGCATATGTCAATATATGGATATGTGCGTAGTTTTGTATAATGTAGGAGTATGTATGCATAGCATATGCATAGCATATGTAAAGGTGTGAGCTTGCATGTAAATGTGCACGAAAATGAGCATATGCGTAATACTTAGAGCATTTGCGGGTTACAACCATGTCTGCACTAGGCGTACATACGCATTAATATTATCAGTGTAAAAAATATAATCACATATATGCACTTCTGATAATCAAGCCCATGCTCACGGGAGTATACCCTGGTGTAGAGAGCGTTGCTGCTCATAAGCCCACACCAGACAGGGCCAACCCTGCTGGACCCCTCCAGCAGGGTTGGCTGGAGGATCAGGATCGCTCCGGAACAAACGGTGCTAAGCGTTGATGAACATTTGCGCATTCAATATAAGGACAATGAGAACTGAATCCGACTTACTAGAATTACTTGAGGATCTCTCTTTCATTAAATGGTATGTTGTAGGACTCTGTGAGCTTAGAAGACTAGACGAAAAACAGAACATACTAAATGAAGGACACGTGCTCTGTTGGAGGGGTGAACCACAGGGTAACAAGCAGGAATTAGGGGTAGGTTTCTTAGTTCACAAACGCTTAGAAAAGAATATCGTGACATTCTATAGTATAAGTGAAAGAGTGGCTTCAGTAACAACAAAACTAAACAATAGGTGCAACCTAAAGATTGTTCAAGTCTATGCTCCAACCTGAAGTCACAGTGATGATGAAATAGAGAGCTTCTATGAATATGTTCATTTAGCCAGCGAGAGAGTAATAATCAATATCACAATAATTATGGGAGATTTTAATGCCAAAATAGGTAAAAAGACAGAGGGAGAAACCGTAGTAGGAATAGGCACTAGGAATGAGAGGGGACTGTTCGTCTTCTACATTTGCTTGGTGCTTGAGTGATGATGAAAACTAAAGTGGGTTCATTGAAGATCAGCTCTGACAAAATTAACACGGAACTCTTCATGTTCCTCTGCCCCACACGCCAGGCTTCTTCTGAGAGTGTTACTGCCAGACGTGTGACTACACAGTAATTGTACAGAGAATCTCACTCTTTCATATAGGTGATATGCTACACAGCAATATAAACTAAACATAACCTTCTATACTTCACATGGCGTAACATATCATACAAAAGCAGTGTATAATATAATAACATAATTATCACTATATACGTACGGTTTTACTGGCATAACAACATGGCACTCACAACTCACATCATTATCATAACTCACTTCATTATCACAATTCACAGGGACAAATGTTTATCAGTTTTGCAGAGGCTCAATCACTCAATACTATTAATGAAGTAAATATTGATAGCGACCATAGATTGGTCAGAGGCCAAATTAAATGACACCTCAGAAAGGAAAGGAATAAGCTCATACGAAAACCGCAGTCAAATTTAGCTAACTTGAAGACCAGAGCGACAGAATATAACAAAACAGATATTCACTTCTCAGCGACAACATTGACCAAATCAACAAACAGTTCAATGACATCATAAAGGAAGCTGCACTTGAAATAGGTGGTAAGAACGTCAAGCAAAGCGCCAACAAGTTCTCGGTAGAAACTAAAGAGCTTAAACACGTAGCTTAAAACGAAGGGTCATGAAAGTATCGTCAAACAGGGACAAAATAGAAATAGATGAACTAACAAACAAATAAAAAGAAGAGAAAAGATGTACAGAAATCCAATACTCAAAAAATAAATAAAACAGTGATCTCAGGTACCAGCATGAAAAAGGAGACTCAGAATCGGGAGAAATGAATTTTAGTAGTGGAAGACCTACAGGGATCAAATGAACAGCCATGGAGAGAAGCAAACGTGGTAACTAGAGACATACTGAACATCGCAACAAAAGAAATAAAAAGAGTACTCAAAGGCATGAAGAGAGGGAAAACACTAGGGGAAGGCAGAATTAGTATAGACCTTATAATAGATGCAGGAGAAATTGCAACAATGTAACTAGCTTATCTGTTTAACAAATGCTTTCTCAACAGATAAACTCCGAAAGCCTGGAAAAATGCAACAATTATGTTGATACATAAAAGGGGGATAGAAAGGATCTAAAAACTACCGACCCATACAACAACTCGTATCTCTGATAGTTTGGATTCTAACCAGCCTAGAGTGGATTCTCAACAACAGACCACATCCACATGCTCACCCAAATAAGAGAAAAAATAAATGAATATAGGAAACTCCTGTGTATGGCATTCATCGATTACGAAAAGGCATTTGACTGTGTACAAATACCAGCAGTACTAGAAGCTATTCGGAGCGGAGACAGGGAGTAGAAGAGGTATATTGTAAAATTTTGAAAGATATATACGAAGATGGGACAGCAACCATCAAGTTCCACACGGAAACCGATAAAATACAATTTAAAAAAGGTGTTCGACAGGACGATACGATCTCACCAAAACTGTTTACAGCATGCCTTGAGGAAATATTCAAGATGCTAGAACGGAACGGAAAGGGTATCAAAATAGTATTGTACCTAAATAATCTAAGATTTGCAGATGATATTGTTCTCTTCAGAAATGCAGCAACTAATAAGTGATCTGAATAGAGAAAGTATGGAAGTCAGACTTAGGATGAACAAGAATCATGTTCAACAGTAAAGTTCAATTCGAATAGATACATGTACAAGGCGAAGCACTAGAGGTAATGGACAAGTATATATATCTGGAGCAATTCATACAATTAAACACATCTAGCAAAGGGGAAATTAAGCGATGCATCAATCTAGGCTGGAGCGCCTTCGGCAGACAAAGACTTTGTCTGCCGAAGGCGCTCCAGCCTAGATATTAAAGACTTCTTTTTAAACATAATGGCAAAGAGCCTCTTAGTATGCTACTTTGTCAAAGTAGCATACTAAGAGGCTCCTTGCCATTATGTTTAAAAAGAATAATCTGTAATCAATATATCCTCCCAGTTATGACCAAATTACTGGAAAGGAAACAAATAGGTGCCAAGAGCGGGACAGAGGGGCTGCTGGGAAAGAGATCGAATGAGGGTGATGTAGATCAAGGAACAGGCAAAAGTGGAACATCAAAAAGAAAAAATGGCAATGGGCAGGCCATATATGTCGAAGACAGGACAACAGATAACCCAGTAACAGACCGGGTGATAGATAACATAAAAAGGCCAAGGGCCAGACCTATGACAAGATTGATTGGAAAATAATGGGAGAAACTAACGTCCATCAGTGGATGGACTCAGGCTGATGATGATGATATATATATGTGTGTATTATGTATATATGTGTATACATGAACACGTGTGTGTATGACTATACACGACTATATATCCTTGTCATTGTTTTTTCATTAGTATTATCAGAATTCTCATCATTATATATATGTTGTGTGTGGGTTTATATATATAACCTGTGGTTCACACCGCAAATGAGGATATTGCCGTGACAAACCCCATCAAAGGCATCCAGCTGTCCCTAGGAAGGCTGAGGTGAAGCAGATACTGAGAGCCAATAAGGGTGCACTGCCTCCGCAGCAGAGCCCATCGCCACACTGTTAGCATGTTCTACATTAACCCTTTGCTGCGGCTGTCTCTGTGTCGGAGCTTTCTGTGTAGCAAGCGCTGCTGGGACAACGTATGTGTCGTAACATATTCTTCATATTTTCTATTTATATATATACATAAATGTATATGTATACTTATCTATATCTATCTATCTGTCTATATCTATATATATATAGATATGTATATATATGACTGCCACGATGGTCCACTGGTTATATATATTATGTATATGTATGAATATTTAAATATATATAGGTATATATATATTTATAGATATAAATATATACATATGTATATATAGATAAATATATAAATAAATAAATATATATATATATATATATATATATATATATATATATATATATATATATATCCCAATGGTGCCGGGGAAAATGAACAAAAAATGGAGAAAATGCTGTGCCCACTTTCTATGTTTTTCGTGAAATGTCTGCCGATAGATGGCTTTGCTAGCGCCTGATTTGAAATGGCGGGAAAAACGTATTTTTCACTAGTGCTATGAAAATCGATGGTGTTATTTTTATCATAAACATTAGTAACAGCAAAATAAGATTACGTAAAATATTTCGTAAATCAAAGAAACGGGTAAACGGGCGAGACGGGTGGTACTCGTAACTGGCTCATTGGTGATTTAGTACAAGCGTTGCCATCTATGCGTAAAAACAATCAAACAAGTACTCACGGTGGGCATAGCACGTACGTACACGTCATACCCGGCACCAAGGGGATATATATATATATATATATATGTAAGTATGTATGTATGTATGTATGTATGTATCTATCTATCTAAATATATATATATGTATATATGTATATATATATATATATATATATATATATAAATGTAGATACATATATGTATGTATGTATATATACACAT